TGATACGGAAGTAGATACGATATCACCTCTGATGATCATAATAGCGTGGCATTACAATTCCCCTTTTCACTAGGCACGAAGGAGCCGTAAATCAAATTATTGAATAAATCTTTTATACTAAAATATGTGAATTGAATGCCGTGATTGTTGTGCTCTAGAAGTCGTAGTAATGTCACACAATTTTCAGAACGTTTGCTACATGTGGCTGCCTTGCTAAAGCCAGGGTAATACTCGGGGCAGCGCCAGGAGTGTCACAACGTGACGGACATGTGCGCTATATAAGAAGCCTTATTATTATTATTTATTATTATTTTGTTTGAAGTGTTTACTGTGCCATGGATATGAACATGTACCTCAAATTCTCCACACCAACAATATCTTGATGCCTTCAAAAAGCATTTCAAAACTCAATTTGATATGATTGTAGAGCGTATTTGTACATAATATCGACAATGAGTTATGGAAATAGAAGTAATAGTAGCAGTAGTATAGTAGTAGTAGTAGTAGTAGTAGTAGTAGTAGTAGTAGTAATAGTAGTAGTAGTAGTAGTAGTAGTAGTAGTAGTAGTAGTAGTAGTAGTAGTAGAACTAGTAGTAGTAGTAGTAGTAGTAGTAGTAGTAGTAGTAGTAGTAGTAGTAGTAGTAGGTAATAGTAGCAGTAATATCAGTAGAAGTAGAAGTAGTATATAATTTCTGATAAAAGTGGATTGTAAAATAGGATAAACATGATTACATGACTACTCTCCAAAACACTCACCTCTTGTAATAGCAAAAAGCTCACCCCCCCCCCCCCCCCCCGCGCCTGGCCGGACTGATACATGATATATCAGAAGCCGGCTGGACTCCCAAATTACTGTGTATAGAGATAGTTTCCCGAGGTTTGATAAATCATGATAACAGGAAAAGACTTAAAGATATGTTGAAAAAACATGTAAATGCAAAGTAAGGTATCCACAACTGAGAAATGAAATCTTGAAAACCGTACTGTTTGGATCGTATGTTATTTTGTACAGCCGGTCGGAACGTACCTGGCAATCACAACATTACTTGGGAGTGTAATTGGTTTAACTATTTTGTATGACTTACAATAGCAAGACCTCTCTCTCTCTCTCTCACCCCTATTCTCCCTCTCTCTCTCTCTCTCTCTCTCTCTCTCTCTCTCTCTCTCTTTCTCTCCCCCTCTCTCTCTTTCTTTCTTTCTCTATCTCTTCCCCACTCTCTATCTATCTCCCCCTCTCTCTATGGTGATAGTTTCTCGTGGTGTGATTACGCATGCTACTAAGAATAGATTGATAGATAATGATGACGGTACCTAAATGTAAGGTGAGGTATATGTAATTGGGAAAAGTAATATTTCAAAAGAATAAGAAAAAGATTACTGTATGGGTTAATGTTATTTTTACAGCCTACCTTAACTCACTTGGAATCAGCACGTGGGAGGCGTAATTACTTTAAATTAGGAGACGTATATAACTTGTTATAAAGGGACCTCTCTCGCTCTCTCTCTCTCTCTCTCTCTCTCTCTCTCTCTCTCTCTCTCTCTATCTCTCTCCCTCCCTCCCTCCCTCTCTCTCTCTCTCTCTCTATGGAGATAGGTTCCCGTGGTTGATCACTCATTAAGAAGAGATTGATAGATATGACCACGGTATATAAATGAATAGTGAGGTATTCCTAACTAAGAAAATAATAATTTTTGTATTTGTTTTTTTGTTAGGAATTATTAATGTTTTCAATTAAAAAACTAAAGTTATGATGTTCTCTTTTCCGTTTTGTTATTGTGTATTGTAATTATTTAACCCTGCATGAGATGCATTCAATGCTATTCAAATTTCGGTCCTGGGTTTTATGTAACATCTTTATTACTATGTTATATGTTGTTTCTTGAATAAAGATGAATAAACAAACGTCATGTTTGACTTTTTTCAGAAACAAAGGAAGAGTAAATGAATGAACCTAATGGAATTGGAGCATTAGTCTAGAAACTGATTTTGATATTAATGTATTTATACTCTTAACAAGAAGATATATCAATGGTTTACAAATAAACTTGATATTTTACTTGATGCATTGTCGCTAAAATAAAGTAGAATAGAAGATATTGTGTATAAAAAATACATCAATTATACTACTAGGATAAACATATTAAAGTCTTTTCTCCAGATTGACTGAATCAAACGTGTGTGATTATGTAGTAGAGGTGTCGTGGTCTAGTGGATAGGTAGCCGGACTGTCGACCCCAAGGTCCGCAGTTCGAGTCCCGCCGCTGTACTAATGACATTGATCTACATTTGCAACACTCCACCCAGGTGATGTAAATGGGTACCTGGTAGGGATTTATTCCTTGAAAACGCATCGCGCGTAACAGCTGCACTGCTAAAGCCAGGGTAATTATGCTGCATTATTGTAGAGCGTTTAGAGACTTCTGATAAAGTAAGTGTGAAACGCTATATAAGCAATTATAATTATTATTATTATGTTCATATTTTACCCACTTTGTATTCGCTATGACGTATAGATGGGCTCTTTGTTAAAGAGATAGTTGAGTTCTATTGCAGAAGGCGCTACACAAACTATTTTTTTTTGTGAGATAATGAAAAACTGCGTGTCAAATTTGAATAAAACATACAATTTAAATGACAAAATCATCTTTGTTTGATCAAAATCGGTTCAGAGACGGCTGAAATATCCATAATTATAACGACTTCTAATATTTGTGTATCAACACAAAATTCGTCCTTGTTTTCACGAAGTGACGGTAGTGAGGAAAATCGTAACGCAAAGTGAATGCAATTTTTTTTTTTACTACCGTCACTTCGTGAAAACAGCGACGAATTATTCGATAATTTGAAGAAAAAAAACGAAATAGCGCCTTTTATTTTGTATTTCAGCCAATGCCGATGTTGGATTTGTTGTTGTTGGCTTTGCCGTGGTGGTTATATTACGCACAAGCAGCCGGCCCATGTATTGTTATTATTAATTTATTTATTAATTGACGGTCACCGTATTTTTTTCGAAAGTGGGGCTGAATTGGTATGATCGTCTTGGATAAATTTTACACATTTTGGGGTCTAAAAGTACCATCAAAGCAATTTTGGTCCCCATAAAAAGCACTAGAAATGTCATAGATAAGAATAAGAGCAATAAGCATGCACTTTGAAGGCATTTGCGGTCTGAAAACAAAACTCAACTATCCCTTTAACAAGGTTCGAGATCAATAATTAGTTGAAACAAAGGTTTTCTAAAAAATCATGAGTTCGATACAAAACAAAACTGACCAATAAATACAAGATTCTTTACTTCTATGATCTTATTTATTTTGTTCTGGGTTATATCACTCTCTTTTATAAAAGCTGCCCCTTTCAATAAAGATTAGTAATAATAGTAATAGTAATAGTTGTAGTAATACACTCAAAAACAAAAGCTGAATTTGGATACTATTTATGGTTAAGATTTTCAAATAACTACCGACGGTAGAGAACTAAATTTTCATTAATATTACATAATAATAATAATATTACATAATAATAATAATATTACATAATAATAATAATATTACATAATAATAATAATATTACATAATAATAATAATAATATTACATAATAATAATAATAATAATAATAATAATACATTTGTAAAGCGCCTTTTTATTAGATACAAAGCGCATAAACAGAAAAAACTACTAACAAACAAAAATAAACATTATCATATGAAGCTTACATTGACTATAAACTGAGAAGAAAAAATTAGAAAAACATTACTAAAAAGAAATAATAATAATAATAATAATAATAATAATAATAATAATACATTTATAGAGCGCAGAAACTATCCAACATTAAGTATGAGAGTATGGCGATTCGAAGACGGGGGAAGGTGTTCTGGGTTTTGGGAGCAATAACGAAAACTGTTTACTCGTTAGAGGGACGGTAAGTGTTTTAGTACTGGCTGATCGTGTATTACACATGCAGGTGTGCGAACGGAATAGATCACCTGGGTATGCTTTGGCCTGATTAGGGACTTTTAGATTTGCACGTCGACTTTAATAGTGGACCACTGCGTGTGCCGTCCTTTTAAGGCACTGGCATTGCCTTAAAAGGACATCACAGTGCCTTAAAAGGACATCACAGTGCCTTAAAAAGACATGGCAGTTCCTTAAAAGGACGCGACAGTGCCTTAAAAGGAAATCACAGTGCCTTAAAAGGACGTGACACGTATAGCAGTCCACTATGTCGACGTGCAAATCTAACTGTCCTGTTATTGAAACACTTGTAAATGAGAGGGTCTTCTGTATGATACGACCAAGAACGCGCAGCGAGTGAAGATTAGTGATGGGAGGCGAGACGTTTACATTATGTTGTTTCCAATGAATGATCCGTGGTGCTTTATGTTGGGGGAGCTGAGGGGGGGGGGGGGGGGGGGGGTTAAGATAAACTTTAGTACTGGTAGTGCGATTGCATTGTGAAAGAAAAGGTGTGGAAAGGATCAGCAACAGTTGATCATGTAGCATGTAAGTATTGGTGTGCACTGCAAGGTTCTGGAGTCATCAAAATCATAATAAATTTGACCGAGTCTTGGTAAAGTAACAAGCACTCACATAGAAAGCTATATATGGGACAACACACATGGTGTCGGGGCTAGTACTACCTTGATTTCCTTGTCTTTCTATGCTCATTACTCAGCCAGTATACATTTTCTTCCAAAATTGTTTGGCACATGTCATTTATTTGTAATCTTGAACATTCAGTGTAAGTTTCGTTTGATTCTGTGAGAATTTTTTTTTTTTTACCAGTACTGGAGTTTATCTTTAAGATCATAAGCAATATAGAAGTGAATTACACTAATCTACACCGGACTAAACAAGAGATCTTAAAACTACATTGAAGAATCTTTGTATATACGAACTTCCTTATTCTACTGAGGTTACGTAAATAGAAATTAACATATTTTGGTACATTTAAAATTTATAATTTGACATATTCATATGCTTGTCAAAACCAACACCTACATTTAAAACATAATTTGACATATTCATATGCTTGTCAAAGCTAACACCTACATTCAAAACATAATTTGACATATTCATATGCTTGTCAAAACCAACACCAACATTTAAAACATGATTTTACATATTCATATGCTTGTCAAAGCTAACACGTACATTTAAAACGATTTGACATATTCATAATAATGCTTGTCAAAGCTAACACCTACATTTAAAACATGATTTTACATATTCATAATTATGCTTGTCAAAGCTGACACCTACATTTAAAACATAATTTGACATATTCATATGCTTGTCAAAGCTAACACCTGCATTTAAAACATGATTTCACATATTCATATGCTTGTCAAAGCCAACACCTACATTTAAAACATAATTTGACATATTCATATGCTTGTCAAAGCTAACACCTACATTTAAAACATGATTTCACATATTCCTGCTTGTTAAAGCTATCACCTACATTTAAAACATAATTTGACATATTCATATGCTTGTCAAAGCTAACACCTACATTTTAAACACAATTTGAAATTTTCATATGCTTGTCAAAGCTAACACCTAATATGCGAAGAGATTGTGAAGGTGAAATGATGATATGATCGTCAATCTTAAGATGAACATGATGTAACTGCTGAGGGTGCTTTGGAAATGGCGCAATCATGAATTCTGTCTGGTCCAGATTAAATTTCAGTTTATTAGCCAACATCTATGACTGAACATCAGAGATATTATTATGTTGTAGTTTGCGTAGTGTATTGTTGATGCTTTGGGGAACCTTCTGATTACATACGCAGTGTATCTGGATGTAGTCGCCGTAAATATGGTTTAATAAGACATCATATTAATGTAAGATATCTATATATCACTGGCTGAAGGTATATGTTAAAGCAATGAGGGCCGATCACAGAGCCTGGGGGACGCCATATTCTAGACAAAATTGTGTTACTTTAGTATAATTTATTAACAGTTTATATGAAAAATGTTAACGATATGAAGTGTCCCCCTTTTTGTTCTTTTGGGTAGTAAGGGGCCCTGTTTGTATGTCAGAATAAAACGACTTTGTGGGAAGTCCTGTTTCGATTTCAAATCAATGATCGATAAAGATGGAGGTTATTTTCCATACTATGGCCCTTTTTGGAGCTGATGGTTGCTCTTTATTTTGTTTATTAGTTCAGTTCTTGTTTAGCGCATAATACGTTATGAAATAACATCTCTATGCGCTTCCAAAGAGCTTTAATCTAAATTCCTTCCATGGATTCAGCAATTGGAACTCGCTGATAGTAATTGTTATCGGATGAGATACGAACAAGCTTGACCACACCCATCAGGATTGCCATAGCAACCAATGTTGCTATCATTCCAAGGAGGAGCATGGCAAGAGGGTTGTAGGAAGCCAAATCTGTGATCATTGGAAAATATAAAATATGGTAGAACAATTGGATGTGGATTAGATATATTCACAAGCGTATCCAAGGGAACAGGAAACGACCCTCCTTCCCGTCCCCTCCACCTATAAGTAGAAAATAGAAAAGAGCATCTGCTAATGGCATATTTTAAGTTATTGCAATCCTTATTTGTGTCCTGTAAAGAATTATCATAACTGAGTGTGCTAAGCTATCTATATATGAGGAAAATGTTACATTTTCAGATTTTTTAAATGGTTGTTGTTCCAAAATAGTACATACCTATAGCCATATCGCTGGTTGAGCGACCGATGTGGATCGGACCATTACTGATGGTCTGAGTGGACAGAAAGGACGAAGATCGACGTTTGCGTTCGGCAGGTGGAGATTCTGAGGGGCATCCTGCGTCTCGAAACAATTGAGCATTCGCGGCACCACAGACCTTCACTGAACAGTGAATGTACACCTGAGAAAACATATATGATGATGCATGCATTAAACATCCAAACAAATTTGCTTTAAATTTGTCCTAATTTTTAAAGGGGAATTCCACCCTGATATTAAAAGGATAGTTGAGTTCTTGTTTCAGACCGCAAATGCCTTCAAAAGGCATGGTTATTGCTCTTATTCTTCTTTTTGACATTTCTATTGCCCTTTTAGGACCTAAAATTACTATGAAGGTATTTTTAGATCCAACATGTGTGAAATTTAGCCAATACGATCATACCAATTCAGCTCTACTTTCCCCAAAATACGGTGACCTTTAATCAATTAATTAATTAATAATAACAATACAAGGGCCGGCTCGTTGTGCGTATTATAACAAATAAGAAAAAGCCCAAAACGCCAACATCTCATTGGCTGGAACAAAACGTATAATGCGCTATTTCGTTTTTTCCGACAACGGCTGGTTCAAATTATCTAATTTTTTGGTGGTACACAAATATTAGAAATGGATATTCCAGCCGTCTCTGAACCGATTTTGATCAAATAAAGATGATTTTATCATTTAAATTGTATGTTCTTTCAAATGTGACATTCAAGTTTTTCATTATCTCACACACAAAAATTGTGTAGCGCCCTCTGCAACAGAACTCAATTATCCCTTTAAGTTGGTTTTAATAGAAGCAGAGAAGGTGAGAGAAATGGATCAGTGAAAGTTTCAAAGATGAAGTTGAGTTCTGGTCATGCGATTGCATTGTGAAAGAAACGGTGTGGAACCGACCAGAAAAGGTTGATCATCTAGCATATAAGAATTTGTGTGTATTGCAAGGTTCTGGAATCATCAAAATGATAAGAAATTTGGCCAAGTCTTGGTAAAGTTACTAACACTGTACACAGAAAGATGTATATGGGACTACATGAACACGTGGCGTAAAAAGCCAGCCCCCCGATTTTTACGATGTTACATGCATATTTAGAATATGAAGGCATTTGAAGAGCCATGCTTTTCAGGGAACATGTCTTCTTCTTCTTCTTCCACACTTGCATAATAAGAATGAGTAATGCTCACAAATTATGTTTCACCTCTTCCCAGAACTCAACCTTCTCTTTAACTAAAAAACCAATTAAAGATAAGGAAGTTAGGAATTTTTTAAAGGAGCATTCAACAAAAAATTGGCTTCTCTTTGATGTATCTTGTGAGGTCCCCTCCCATTTTCCATGTATTAAAAAACGTCAAGAATCTAAATTTATCTTCAGAAATTGCAAACCATACATTCGCCCTCTATATGATAATTACAAATATGTTTTTTATAAAACCCCTGTATGAAACATATTTATTCCGTCATCAATAACTTAGAAAATGAAAGTTTATGTAAGTCTATGTATAGAGCAAAATGGAGGAGAGATCGCAAGGTACCTCACAATTTGTGTTTCACTGAAGGCAACATCATTTTGCTATAACTTTCCTATTTTTAACCCGATATTGCTAAAATTTTCACTTATTTTCAGTCTAATTTTTCTGCTGTTATTAAAACCAAAGTCATATCAGGGTGCAATTCCCCTTGAAGGTGGGCAATTATGATCCAAAAATGAAAAAAGGGCTTTAAAAAAAGGCTTTAAAAAAAGGCTTTAATAAGATGACGTGAAGTGCAATACGATTCAAGTTTCTATATCCTATACCATGGAGCTCAGTGAATGTGTTCAAGACTTTGCGATTCATTTACATGTAGGTAATTACTGAGCCCAAAGAGACAGGGTAGACATGACTTATCTAAGACCTAGATCCTACAGCTTAGTTTTCTTCTTCCATTCTCATGAAATTGGCAAACAAAATTGTAATAAAATTAGGTGTATAAGTTCATTCCATGTAAATATTTCACCTCAGTGTAATCTCCAACAAAGGCAAATGCACTAAAAGAAAAACCTTCTCGATTCAATCCAAGGAGACGATAGATAGCAACTGTTTCATCATCCGGGCAACTGTAGAACCAATTGAAAATGTACTCGAGTTAGCAGGAGTCATAGCCGTGGGAGAACGGCCGGAAATCATGAAATAAAGTTGAAGAAGAAGAACAATATTAATCGTAGTAATAATAATGATAATAATAACAACACCAAAAATGTGTACAATGTACTATGATTACAACAACGATTACTATTGTTACTGCTACTACTGCTACTACCACCACTACCACTACTTCTACTAACTTTGTTCCATCGGTTCATTGCGTCTTCGGTTTACACAAACTTTCGTGAAAAGTCAAGTCATGAATCCCCAAGGGTCAGGTATAATGTTTGTGAAATGCTTCCCACCCAACGCCAAAGTGTTGCGTCTAGTTTACTAGACACTCTGAAAAACCTACATCAAATCTAAGAAAACTTGTATCTCGGCCCAGCACTTTTAATACGGGTTACATACATTCTTTTTAAAAAAAGGCTAGCGGTCAAATCCTCGTTATTGTTGAAATATTATTCATATTTGTTTGGCAATCAGTCAGGACTGAATATTTTTGCCACTAATATTCATTGTACTATTTTGTATTCTGTATCGGTATCTCAAAGAGCATCTTTGAAAACATGATTATTTGCATTAAGTTTACCTGACCATTGGGGGATATTTTCACAAAATATCGTTTAACCCGACAACATGAAGCACACGACTTTTCGTAATTTTGAGGTTACTTTTTAAGAAAGATTGTGGAACCCGACTTGAACACCCGACAGAACGAAGTAAGGCAAGAAGCCTCATCAGCATCAATGCCAATTTCCTGAGGGCCTTCAAAGTATCATTACCCAGCAGTAAACCAGTTACCGAATAACACCTGGGTGGAGAATGGCAAATGTGGATTAATGTCTTGCCAAAAGACCTAAGCGCCGGACTTGTATTGGAAACTCTAACCCTTGGATTAACCCTAATAAGGCCGGGCTATTTGAAGTCTTACTACGGCCGGGGGGGGGGGGGGGCATTATGCCCCCCCCCCTAAGATCTCGGCCGTGAAAGGGCCGATCTCCGCGAAAATTTGCACGCATGTCAAGTGAAGTGTACAGAACAATATGATAATTTCAATTTTTTGAAAAAAATCACTCATTTGCATATTTATGGTAATTTATGCAAATAACGTCATAAAATCACATTTTTACCCATAAATCATATATTATTCATATTTAAGCATTCTTTTTCACTACATATATTCATTAGACCATTTGGAACAATAATACGACAAAAAAATTTGGAAGAGCCAGCTTATTCCTTATGTTATCTCTTGTTTTGATAATTTCTTATGTATTTCATTGTTTTTTTAACTTATTTATGTTATTGTTTTTTTTTTTTTATTTCTTCCTACAATTCAACTATTTTGACTCCCAAAACAACCACCTAAACTTTAAACAAGACCCAATAACCAATGTTTGATCTATTTTTAGGAAAAATGACATTCCCATATGTTTTGTACACAAATCACAAAAATGAGCGATTCTCGGGCTGACATGCAAAGACAAAAGGTCACGTGACCTTGTAACTATAGGTCCGATTTTTTAATTTTTTTTTAAAGATGCGCAAGACTCTTAAGAAAAAAGTCAGCGAGCGGCGAGGCGCCATCCATATGCGTTCTCGAACAATCAGAAAAATCGTGGAGGGGGGGGGGGCATAATGCCCCCCCGGCCTTATTATGGTTAAGAGTCAAGTGAATGAACCACTATCCCATCACTATATGATATATATTTCTTGAGGCTCATGAAAAGTTCTACTAACCCTGAAGAAATTAGAGAGTAATGTGGCTCTGCGTCTGAGTCTTGAGTGGTTGTCGCCCAGCAGCTGTCGATAAACATACCAACGCCTGGTACCGACTCAAGATACACACCAAAGTAGAGGTCATCTCCTTTCCCGACAACGGAGGTGGTTTCGGATTCACTTTCATCAAAAGCATCTGTCTGGAACCTTTCGAGTCTCAGACTGAAGTCACCAGAGCCCTTGTCGCTAAAGGACACCTCACCAAGCTGTGGTCTGAAGGACCCACTGATGACTTCCTCTTTCTTGAGGCAACATTCGACCCGAACCTGCATGTGATATTTACGGGTGATTGCCGTACCATCTTCCGAACCAGGCTTGGCGTACGTAATAACGTTAGAGAAGGTTATGGTTGTGTTATCCTCCTGTAATGACACCACGTAATATATATAAAATAAAATAATGTTACGAAAACAAAAATGAAATCCAGTATCGAGTTCGATACAAAAATTAATGTATACTAGTACATTGTAAATGTATATTTTGTTGGCCATTTTAAGATGACGCTGAGGTGATTGTTGTGGCTCTGTCCTGTTATTGCTTTTACTGAATATGAACATGAATCAGTAATACATGGAGTTACAGTTCGGGCGATATCACGGGTTATAACTCCCATGCCGAGTTATAGAAAGAATTACTTCTAATTACAATAATGAACTATACCAGCCATCATCTAACCCAGTGGCGGATCCAGGGGGGGGGGGGTCGAAACGGCCGCGCCCCCCCCCCCCCTATTGGCGGCGCAAAAAAAAAGAGGAAAAAAAAGAAAGGAGAAGAGAAGAAAAAAAGGAGAAGAGAAAAGAAAGGAGAAGAGAAAAGAAAAGAGAAGAGAAAAGAAAGAAGAGAGAGAGAGAAAAAAAAAAAAAAAAAAGAAAGAAGATACCCCCCCCCCTCCCCCACCTCACTCCCACTCCGGGGTCGGAGGGACCGATTTTGTGTTCCCAAAATTTCCGAAAAAGGGTTACTTTTATCACGCAACAAAGTCCGGCCCGTAATACACACAAATCCGGCCCGCACTGACTTTACGTGACACACCGAAGATAAAGGGGTGCTTTTAAACTAAGAGAGGAAACATACATGCGCGTACCCTAGATAGCACTGAGTGGGTGGGGGGGGGGGGGTGGGAAGGGGACGGGAAGGGGAAGAGAAAAGTCGGGTGAGAAAGAGGGAAAGACAAGGAAATGGCGCTAAATGACAGTAACGACGAATAAGGGAAAACTGTAATCGGGAGATTTGGGGTCATTCCAGAAGGCTTGGGAAATGTTATTGAATAGAGGGGGCAGGGCCGGCCGCATAAAATCTCGAGCCACGGATTCAAAGTTAAACGTTACAAACAGCCCCTGCTTTTTGAAAAAAGTTGAAAAGGGCACAATATTTTGGATGTCTTTCAAATAGAAGCTACAGGTGTATATACTAAACAGTCAAATTTTAAATTAACGGTAGGGCCGCTCATAACTCTTATTTTGCCCTTCATTTGGATTCAGCTCATACCAACTCGCTTGTGCTTATATTTGAACTCATGTAGGTAGTGATAATGGACAGCGGCGGCGATCCTGAGCCCGATAGAGGGACACGTCCCCCCGGAAATTTAGATATATAGCTAGAAAGAAATATACATGTAGCGGGAAAAACGTACATATTGGACTAAAGGATTTTCTAGAATGCATAATTTCAGCATACTACATTGCAAAATCTCACTTGGTCGCTACGCCCCGACCCTCGCCCGATAACACAAAACTAATATATGGCGCTCCAGGTCGCGATTATTTCATGGTTGGTGTATAAATAGATCTTTTTTCCCCTTTCATTTCTACTGACCTAATTTTATGCTATCACAATCATGATTGTTTCATTTTCCCTTTATAGCATGCGTAGCTAGGGACGGTAGGGGCAGTAAGAGGACATAGGACGAAAAAAGGAGCAGACAAAGAAACATTTTTGACAAGTCTAAAACGGTACAACAAATCATCTTCTTTCTCTAATAATTTAATGAAACGTCAAAGCTTCCGCGCTTCGCGCGGGAGGGGGGGGGGGGGAAATCAATTCAGACACGGATTAAGAGTCGGGAATGGAACAACGAATTATCTTCTTTCTCTAATAATTTCATTAAACTATGAAAGGTCAAAGCGTTGGAGGGGGAAACTGAATTCAGACAAGGATTTAGAGTCGAGAATGGAACAACGAATCATCTTCTTTCTCTAATAATTCAATAAAACGTCAAAGCTTCCGCGCTTCGCGCGGGAGGGGGTATGGAAACCGAATTCAGACAATGATTAACAACCGAGAACGGTAAAACAAATCGTCTTCTTTCTCTAATAATTTAATGAAACGTCAAAGCTTCCGCGCTTCGCGCGGGAGAGGGGGGGGGGGGAATCAATTCAGACAAGGATTAAGAGTCGAGAACGGTACTCTTTCTCTAATGATTTAATGAAACGTCAAAGCTTCCGCGCTTTGCGCGGGAGGGGTATGGAAACTGAATTCAGACAATGATTAAGAATCGAGAACGGTACAACGAATCGTCTTCTTTCTCTAATAATTTAATGAAACGTCAAAGCTTCCGCGCTTCGCGCGAGAGAGGGAAGAGGGGACTCAATTCAGACAAAGATTAAGAGTCGAGAACGGTACTCTTTCTCGAATGAGTTAATGAATCGTCAAAGCTTCCGCGCGGGAGGGGGTATGGAAAATGAATTCAGACAATGATTAAGAATCGAGAGCGGTAAAACGAATCGTCTTCTTTCTCTAATAATTTAATGAAACGTCAAAGCTTCCTCGCTTCGCGCGGGAGAGGGGGGGGGAAACTCAATTCAGACAAGGATTAAGAGTCGAGAACGGTACTCTTTCTCTAATGATTTAATGAAACGTCAAAGCTTCCGCGCTTCGCGCGGGAGGGGGTATGGAAACTGAATTTAGACAATGATTAAGAATCGAGAACGGTACAACGAATCGTCTTCTTTCTCTAATAATTTAATGAAACGTTAAGCTTCTGCGCTTTGCGCTGGAGGGGGAAATCTGAATTCAGAGAAGGATTGAGGGTCGAGAATGGAACAACGAATTATCTTCTTTCTCTAATAATTTCATTAAACTATGAAAGGTCAATACTTCAGCGTTTCGCGCGGGAGGGGGAAAACTGAATTCAGACAAGGAATAAGAGTCGAGAATGGTACAACAAATCGTCTTCTTTCTCTCATATCAATTAATGAAAGGTCAAAACTTCCGCGCTTCGCGCGGGAGGGGGGGGGGGGGGAGCAGGGGGGGAGGAACTAAATTCAGACAAGGATTAGGAGTCGAGAATGGTACAACGAATCCTCTTCTTTCTCTAATAATTTTAATGAAACATTAAAGTTTCTACGCTTCGCGTGTAATGGGGGGGGGGGGGGACAGCGAGCTGCCCGAATATGAATTTGTTATATCTTTTCTCGTATATTTTGGTGATAAATAACACTTTCACAAAATACATATTATCCTCAAATTTTTGCTCGCTCGCTTCGCTCACTAGACGAATTGTGAAACCAGAAAATTACTTTTTTCGGGCAAGAAGCTTCAGCCCCCCCCCCCCCCCGATGAAAATGTCAAAAAAATTACCGGTATGGTGCTTCTAATATGACCTTGTCAGTATTGGTATGTTGAGTTGAGAAACGATCTGCGCAATTTTCAAATTTCCGGCTCCCCCTATTGGAAAATCCTGGATCCGCGCCTGTAACCACCCATGCCAAGATACTGGCGTTACATTTTGTTGTAATCACTTGTGTCCGGGGGGGGGGGGGACTGAAGCCCCTCTCATCCTCCCCCTCCCCCCCCCCCCCCCCCCCCCCCCCAAACAAATATAAAGAAAGAAAAGGAAAGACGAATGCTCCTTAGTTACCAACGATTTGTAAAGTGAATAAATTGAGACGTCATAATAGACAGTTTCGTTGAAGAAGGCACATTGGCCAAGATACCTAAAAATCAATTATGGTTACCCCCCCCCCCCCCCCCCCATCCTAGAAACGGCCATCTATGGTGATTTCTGAATGTCATTTCATATGAAATAAGACTGTATTACTCCGTAAGAAACAATAAATAAATATCTGTAGGTAAAAATTGATAGGATTTTAGTTAATGGCAATTAGGGAGACGTGAAAACAACGTTGTATAATGCGTAATAAATGTCAAGTATAATTATGTACGCAAAATAACATGGAAAGAGTGAGATAGAATTGAAACCCAATTTGTTTTCAAATTTGTATATACATGATTTTTCCCTTAAAGCTTGAACAAAAACCAATGAAAAAATGTGTTCTCTACCAGATTATAAAGATAACAAAATTGAGATTTATCACATAGGACCTAAAATTAATATGCCCGAAATTGAAAAAGAAGGAGTAAAATATGCTTCCAGTTGTTGTTTTATGGAATTAGCAAAAGACGAGTAAATCATGACAATTTCATGAAAATGTACATGTATATCATTGATAAAACTCACTTTTATATTCGTATCTGCCGGTAATATGGTTGTTTAATGTGATGTGAAAATGGAGAAATACATTTTGTTGACTTCTCTGTGCATCAAATTAATTTTGTTAATTGATTTCATGTCAAGTGCTATTGTAGCGGAATAATTATTATTACTGTGTTATGATATTTCTTAAGTTAACAAAGAAGAAATGACACAGAAACATCAACAACACGGCGGAAACGGATGCAGAGCAAGATAGATTCCGGGATTTTTACTATCGGTACTTAAAAGAATAACAAATATATATTGTTATTTGGAATGAAAGTAAACAGATTATACACCTGTATTTAAGCCAGCATGTCATGCCTGTCGCAGCGAACTTCAAATGAAACATATTGAGGCTCTGCCCCTGGACCCCACGCAGTTAGGGGCTGTGCTCTATGTTTAAACCCCTCTTCACACGCCAATGGTATTGGTAGTGATGGCAACAGGAGTGATTCGTACCACTCTTTTAACTTTTTTAATTTTTATTATTTATTAGGCCAATCATAAAAACACAATACAATGACATTTTGAAAGATCATTCAATACATAAACAATACAAGAGGAAAAGAGAGGGAGCAACGTGTGGGCCAGGGCTCACAAAAGTGAAATTCAACACTATTACCCAGAGGCATGTGAGCCCTCACATGTTGCTCCCAAATCAACTTATATATAAACATAACATTGACTTACATACAATATTGCACATTGTTTGAAAAAATACATCTTAACTCCCCCCCCCCCCCCCCCCTCCCTCCAAAAGCTAAAACTAAAATGACACATTTATTACATATCGCATATTCCTACAAAAAAAGATATCATTTAGATGTTCCAAGGAAATTACAATCATTATGATACAAGCAGCATTATATTAAAGTAATGAGGAATTAAAGAGTAAGGGAGGCTGGTATCTTCAACAGGGTTGAGAAAATCATTGGAATCAGACATAATGTATTGAGTTAAAACGCAGGATAAGGCCAACAGTATGCAAGGGCCCTAAACAGTATCACAATGTAAGTGTATATATATGATGTATAGTACAAGTATAAAGAGAACATAATAATTATACCTAGCTCAGTGTTATATAGGCCTGGAGAAAGCACGTCTATATACCAGTAAGCCTATTAATATGTAATAAAGAAGTAAGAGTAATTAAGTACGATACAATTGTTAAGTGTATACTGTTTGTCATACCTCAAAGATGGTGCCACATTGATTGTAGTGTGTAGTGAGAGTGATCTCATCAGTGCTAGCGTTGTTTACACCGTTGCAGGATTGGGTACGAAAATGAACACCAGATGCTTCCCCTTGGACTAGCCGTTTATCTATGCTGACGGTCATTGAACTACTTCCGCACTCAACATATGTCACTGGTATAAGAGAATTGCCAAGAGCAAAGAAAATGTCAATTACGTCACCCTTTTCATTTTTTCAGGTGACAGAAGCAAAAATTGCCGTAATTGATTAGGGTGGGTATGGGTGTGTGGGTAAGGGTGTGCGTTTGTGATCATGCAGACGGATTGTTCAAACATCGTGGCTAAATCATGAACAGGAATTCGTCCAGCACAAACAAAATATCCAAGATACTTACGCTTATCTTGACACATATCGCCATCAAATCCTGCTAGACATGTGCAAAAGCCTTGCTCACAGCTCGCTCCATTAAGGCAAGTGTTATTACATTGATCTGAAAACAATTAAAGATAACAGTTGCTCTATCAAATGATGTGGCACCAGAAAGTACGAAGGTAAAGAACAGCTTGTAAAACAATGATTTTCGTCACTTATGCTATGGTTACATTACCCAAAAGTAGCCTGCTCGGCGGCCGAGCGGCGAGTTTTTAGCCAATTTTGCGCCGCCACCGAGCGGCGGCCGCCCAGGCACCGCTCGTTTTTTTAGGCATCGCTCGGTCGCTGCTCAAGTTTTAGCGCGGAGTTAAAATTCGGGCGGCGCCTGCTCACTTTAACTCGCCGCCCAACCTTCGCTCGGCGGCCGTGCGGTCGCCGCCCGGGCGCCGACCTAATCGAGCGTTCACCGTCGAGCGATTTAGGTCAAAAATCGAAGCCGCTAGGTCAAAGGCTGTCGAGCAGTCGCCGACCGGTCGCCGCTGGGAGATCAGTCGGACACTGGGCGGCGAGTCCAAAATTGGTCGGCAGCCTTTGACCTAGCGGCTTCGATTTTTGACCTAAATCGCTCGGCGGTGAACGCTCGATTAGTTCGGTGCCCGGGCGGAGACTGGCCGGGCACCGAACGTATTTTGGAGCCCCGCCGATCACTGGCCGGCCGCCGTGCAATATCTTTAAAAGAGAGACTGCTCGGGAATCGGTGGGTCACCGGTCGTTCGCTGCCGGGACACCGCGCGGAAAAGCTCCGCGATTTCGCCCAGTTTTGACCTAAAATCGACCGGCGACCGACGGGAAATCGACAGGGCGCCGCCCAGGCACCGCTGGGGCTCTACAGCCTGCTCGACTTCTCCAAAAATCGCTGGGCGATGCCTAAATTCCAGTGGCGACCGAGCAGGCAACTAATCGGTCGGTCGCTGCTCTGATTTGTGACCATAGCTTAAGGCCCGAATTTACAAAGGAGGTTTGTCGACAAACCGAGGTTTATGTACGTCATATGACGCGTTTTGACGCGTTTTTACAAATCTGTTCGAACCCCGGCCGCGTCATACCAAAAGACGTTAATAGATGCTACCTTGTTTGGCGTTCAACAATAAGGGATAGAGCAACGTCGATCTGGCGCTGCTCAGCGGCTGTCGGGCACACGATCAATTGGGCAAAAAGAATTTCCGTTTCGGTTTAATAAAATATGGAGTGGACTATTAGGCTATTATTATTATTATTATTATTATTATTATTATTATTATTATATGACGCACGAAAACCAAGGTTTGTCGACAAACCTCGTTTGTGAATTCGGACCTAAGAGTTCGAGTTAGATTTGCTGTTGCTTTCGCTACTTTTCTTTCTGGTTGTTAATCAATATGGGCATGGCGCGTGTTCTTAAAAATAAACTTGAGTTCTGGCAATGATAGAAAATAAATTCTCACAGAATCCAAAAAAGAATTACACTGAATCATTAAGTGTAATTTGTTTAAAGGTATAGACCAGTTTTGGAAACGCCCCCTTAAAAGCTCTTATTACCAATCATGTGAAATAATATGTTTCGACTAATACGTGATGATACAACATTAATGTTGCCGGGAATCTGTCCTTTATACCCCGACAAACAACCATTCTAATCTTCCAAGAACTTTAAAATATCTTATCCTATGGCTCAACAGAATGTGCACGTCCTTTACACCGAGCTCACACAACGAGAGTGATACAGCGAGTTACTTAAACAGTGGGTCCCAGAAAAAAACGAAACCAAGAATTATCGATGACGATCAGCCATGCATCAAGTCTTTCGTCTTCTTTGTGCATGGCTGATCGTCAACGAATTATCAAAGTCTTTTGTCAACTCCGTTATTTGTTCCGGCAGGCAGGCAGCCAGGAGGATCTAAGCTTTACAATTATGTGTCATTTAGTAATTATAATTGTGATTAAGTTATGATAAAACGTCGATAATTCTCGGTTTTGTTTTTTCTGGGACGCACTGTATAGTTAGCAGTCCAGCGCATATTTGTGAATATCATGTACTACTTTCTCGGCCTTTTCTGGCCTTTCAGTCTTTGAAAAAAAACGTGTGGGGGGGGGGGGGCTTAATTTATTGCATCATGCTTCGTGTCGGGTTGGGTTTTCGGGCTACCCCAACCTTATCCCCAAATCTTCCTGTTTATATTTACTTACAGTGTACTGTCTAGAGAAAAGTAGAGTTGTTCAACAGAAGTATGAATAGAGTAACTTAACACTTTATATGTCCTTCTAGCGCTACCCCTATCTCGGGTCGCACAATTTGTGACAATACAGATATGACTTCTTCTTTTTTTACCTAAATGACAGAAGTTTCCTCTGAAACCCTCGGCGCAAACGCATTTATCCTCCTGACATGTTCCTCCATTGTAACAAGGGTCGGACGATCCACATTGAACTGTTGGAAAGAATTAAGAAACAGTTGTTGACAATGTGGTCTATCGAATATACAGTGAGTAAAAAAAACTGGATGAGACAAACAATTAATGTGAAGCTTTAAGCTGGACTGCACTACTTATCGCTATACTTGCGCCCTTTTCTTATGATAATTGAGAGCCGATTTGATGAGATAACCACCTGTCAGTGAACATTCCTTGTTTCTCCTATAATACTGCTTCTTTTGTTACCTTAGGGAAACAATTTATACAAATTATGTATATATTGAATATGGTGCAATTTAATACTAGTCTAAAAGTTTTAGACGATCAGGTTTTTTGGATTTATCACCTTTTGGAAAGAAACATCCGGATACGTCGTTTTAGAGGAAAAGTGGTTTTATTTCCTTTAAAGTTCAGTGAACGTTAAACTTTGGAAAATATGATAAAATGTACTCTATTCAGTATTGTTGTGTTTTACATTAAATTTGACTCGTTAAAGTGGTTTAAAAGTTCAAAAAGGGATGGTCGGCCGGAGTTTCATTCCAGAAGGATCTTAATCTACACTAAATTAAATTACACACAAATTATGAAAAATAGAATCCATTGCTAGAATTTTGTTTTAAGATAAGTAAAAATTATGTATGGCAACCTCCCCACCATTAAAAAAACAGGAGTGATAACTGACTAGGGAAAGTAGTAAATTAGAAGAGATCCGTTGATTTACTCAAATTCCTTTTGGAATGGAACTCTAGTTTAATATTCGACAATGCGTACTTTGCAATGAATAACAATACTACATTAAATAATGTACCTTTTCCTATCTCACGAACTGTTTCTGAGACTTCGAATAACCAACTTCCTTGTTCTCCATAGTTACTACCTGATACCAGATCATCAAGGTCAAGAGATACTCGATTTGTCGATCGGTCTCGATTGTCGATAGTAGCTATTCCAGCCTTGATAAAGATGATAACAATAGTAATGATGATCATGCTGATGATGGTGGTGATAATGATGACGATAATGGTGATGGTGATGGTCAGTGATGACAATGGATGTGATGATACTGTTGGTGAAGACGAGGATGATGATTGTGATGATGAATGGGATGATGATAATGAATGTTGGCGTTGATCATAATAATGATGGTGAAGATAATTATGACGATGGTCATGATGATGGGGATATTGATGATAACAGTACACATTGATGGCATTCCTCCTGTTATCCATTAAATAACATCATGTTATTAGTAAGATTTGAAAGACATCCTACAATCTTAAGTGTTAACCAACAATTTCGTCGCAATGAGTAATGACAGTTTTTTTTTAATCATACATTTTATTTTAAACTTCAGATGCAATCTTTAGGCCTATAGCTTTGATTTGTAATAAGTCATCTTTAAAAAAAATAAAAGCATTCTTTTAAGACCATTTCCTAATAACTAAATGTCAGACAACTTGCTTTATAAAAAGTCATAGTTCTTTTGAACTTGACATCATTTATGAAAAACTAAGCTTCATAAAAACTCAACATCAAATCGACAGTCAGTGATATTTTCTCATTTGGAAGGCATATCTGCTCTTTTTTTAATTACTGTTCATTTCATTTATTTATTATGTCCATAGAGGCTAACTGTGCATATTTACAATCTTGCTTCACAATAAGTACAACATATAATTGACAATCATAAGTATTTAATTAAATACAAGTGAATTGTATTTTTTTTCTTACAATAAACACATACTTCATGTTTGTCTAAATTAGTCTCAATGCCCTTTTTTTTAGTATACATTCAATATACATGATTACGATGAATATTCCTTTTTATTTTCTTTCTTCTTTTTCTTCTTCTTCTTCTTATTTTATCTCTCTCTCTCTCTCTCTCTCTTCACATATATATACCCTCCCTTTTATAGTCTTCTTATATTCTCTAATCTGAGGCAGGTATTTTAATTTTTTCTAATTATTCTTTGATACGGTATAACAGTAGGGAGTACAACAGTATAAGTAAGTATACTAAAAAATCATTTTCGTGTAACATGTCTATAAGATATTTTGCATAGTTTTCACATTCACTACCGGTCTTGTCTTCGTTTAACTCTTCTCTCTACTGGATTTTATTAACAACTATTATGGAAAGTGGAATGAAATAGATTAATGAGGCGACTAGTTCTTGCTTTTACAGATCTCAATCTTCGTCCGCTTCTCATGTGCATTTACTGGTCATTAAGTGGGGGGGGGGGTTGGATCAGATACAATGGATAGGGCCTTAGAAATAACTCCTTCCGTACAGACTTCGTCTAGATCAACGGTATGGTTCATCATTTAGCTGGCATGTTTTACAACCCTTCTCAGCTTTTGTTTGTCTCATTTTTTGCAGTATTAAAGTTAATACGAAGATTTGGCATGAGGTCATGAATTTGCTTCAATTGAACATATTGGAAGCATTATGCGATCCTACAATATTCAGTGATCGTTGTCGCGGTTGAAATCGAGTCTAAAGTTATGAAATTGTGAATAATAAACTCGTAGTAGCTCCCTCTCAGCGTCAAGATATTTATTAAGCTATAATAACAATGTTTCTTGAC